AGTTGAAGATGATCGGCTCAGTTATATGCTACCTCAAAAGACCAAGTGAAGACAATTATATAAACATTGGATACTTAAACAGTTCAGGGTGACTAGGATGACCTGGTCATATGCCCTAAGAAGAGAAAAGTTGTTGTGCCCTGTGTTTTTGTATACTTTATGGCTGGGCTAGACATGTTCCATAAGTTTGGGTGGTCTAGCCTTATGCCCTATGTAAGCTGGGTATAAGGGACAAATCATTAAAAGGCTACAAACTATTGTTTGCTAAGGTAGCTTGGGGATGGTGAGAGAGTGCATGTTTGTGATTTGGCCTGCATGTGACTGAGTGATGCGACTTCTTAGTCTGAGTTTTGATTTGATAGGTAGTTGTTGTAGTTGCTCGCCACGTGCTAGAGTCAGAGGAGTTAGAGTCATTTCCTGCATTTTCTGGACTCCTTTTTTTACTTAGATCAATTTCTGCATTTTCTGGGATCTTTTGATTCGTACTTGGTCTTGTATAAATCTTGGTAAGCCACTTTCTCTACGGGAAGCGCTGCCGAAATTTCTACAAGATCAAGGAGTTAGGCAAAACTTTGACTTTTTCAGGATTCGGTCTTGATGACTTCTTTGACTTAGTCAGAATCTGGGGAGCCTCCTTTTCTAAAGGAGGTGCTGCCCAAATTTTTACTAAAATAAGAAGTTAGCCAAAATTGGGTCCTGAAGGGTCATGGTCATTGTCATGTCCCAAACTTGGCCTTGTACAAATCTTGGACTAGCACTTTCCTTACGGGAAACGCTGCCGAAATTTTCCTTGTTTCCGACATCCTATCTCGTCGAGTTACCAAGGATACCCCTCCACGCATCGAGTACCTTGTGCGTTGGAAAGGTTCTCCTGATGAGGAGGCTACTTAGGAGCCCCTCGAGCACCTGGAGTACACCCGGATGGTTGTGCGTGCATATGATCGTGCTCGTCGTACTGGGACATCTGCTCCTACTCAGCCGACTTACCCTCTTCCTCCTCCTCCGACTGAGGAGATCGCTGAGGACGAACCCTCTCCCTCTGAGGCCGTTCTTCAGCAGCAGGCGAACGCCTCCGCTCGTCCACAACGCACTCCTCGACGCCCTCGGCGTCTCGACGACTGATACTCTGATCACCCACTCCTCCCTACTGACTCACACCCTCAGATACTTCATCATGGGTTTCTTCAGTGTCAGCGTTTTACGGTTCTGCTTCGGCATCGACCCGACTCCTCCTTCATCGACGTCATCGACCACTTCGACGACTTCACCCACCTTCTCGACTTCAACAATCTTATCGGCTTCAGGTACTTTGGACATGACTACTTAATTGTCTCCAGGACTTTAGGATTGTATCATGCTACATTTTATTTCTTGTTGTTAGTTAGGATGTGTATACCATACATTTGTTTTTCATTTGACATTATGTAGTTTAGGCTGCATCGCATGGACTCTGCATGGAGCTTGCTCCGCATCCTAAAATTATTTATTTCAGAGTTTCGCTGCTTTTGCGGATAGCGTATTTATGGCTCTTGCGATCCATTACAGGTCTGAGGATCGTGCAGCGGGCCTTTATCTGCCCCGCCCTTCGGCCAGGGCCTGTTCGACTATTTGTCAGTTTGGCCTGTGGGACTAGGCCGTGGCTTGACCCCACATGCCCTGTACTATTCCAGTCCAGTCCAGTCTTGCCCGGTACCACTGTCGGTACCAGTCCAGTCAGTCCGCTGGGGGTATACCCCAGTTGTTGTCTATTATTTCCGCTGGGGGTATACCCCAGCTGTTGTCTGTTTTTCATTATTCTTCACTTTTGCACATCGTGGAGTACGTGCGTGTTGAGTCTGCGTCGGAGCTGCGCTGTCTTTCCAACTCCATCTCTACCTCCTCCTTCGGCAATCCTCCTTCTCCATCCTAACGGACCGCCATCCCGACGGGTCCGGCACAGGGGCGGTGACCAACATGACAGGCGGATACGTACATGATGGATGGAGTGGGGAAACATGGACTTAGGGGAACGGTACTCTCACCGTGACTGGCGGTGACAGGGGAGTGACAAACCCGAAAAAGCTGACCAGCGGTTGACAGAACTTGACAGCAGTAGGACCCGTTGACTGCAAGTAACAGTCCTCGACCAAAATGCGAGGAGAACGACTCAATCTCCGTAGGACCTGACCCTTGTGCTCTTGCGCAGGTTTGCGTATGCGATGAGTGTTGCGAGCGGGTGCGGACTAGAGGGCGCTGCTCGGAAAACTGCGCAAGCTGTCGTCGCAGGCCAGACCCCTGTGACTTATACCGTCACCGGCCAAGGCAATGATACCAGTCGGGCTGGCGAGACAATTCTTCAGCCTGGGTGAGTGTCACATCGTCCATTGTTCTCCTTGCTTCAAGTGACAGTCCTTCATTGATTTAGGTGGTTGCTTTGTCTGTCGTGGATGTCTGAAACTTGACGTGATGGTTGAAGTTGTTTCTCACCAAGATCGCAGATGATGTTAGTGAATGGTTGCGATAGAGGTTCCGGTTCCAACTGTCGGGTGCTGGTACCATTGACCCACGATGACCAGCCAGAAGAAAGTGGGCTGTTGAAACTATTTCCAATTGCGGTCGCTATTGTAGGTGTAATGTTGTGGAACGAGGCCCCTAGTATTTTTTTGATTACGTTTAGGCTCAAGGGCGCGTGTAGGGCTGCCCTTGAGTTTTTTTTCAACTCGAGGGTGGTGGAACGAGGCCCTTTGAAATAGATGGCTTCCCGCCCCCTCGGCCCCCCCCCTTCCCCTCCAAAGCTGCTTTGAAAACGTGGTGGGCAATTCCGTGAATCCTATGCACCGCCCCCCGGGCTGTGGGACCACTCCCAAGGGGTCACAGAGAGAGAGAGAGAGAGAGAGAGAGAGAGAGAGAGAGAGAGAGAGAGAGAGAGAGAGAGAGAGAGTACCCAGGGCCAAGTTCTCACTCACCGGGATTCTCCATCCTAACCCTAGATCATGAAGATCAACGGCCAGAAATGAAAGAATCCTATCAGTGGGATTTGGCCCAAGTTGGCATCCAGGTACTGTGGTTGCTTGGAAGAGTGGACTGAGCGCCACACCACTCGAGAAATGTGAAAACGACAAAAATGCGAGGGGTGCATCTGTCTATGTTCTAACGGGAGGTTCATTCTCTCATTTTGCACATTTCGAGAGTGGTGTGGCGATGCCCTGAGTTGTGAGTAGAGGGGGGGGCAAGTCCACGGGGAAGGGCCGAATAGAGGGATGTCGGAGTGGAGCGAGGAGAAAGCACCTACTGGGGGGGCAAGTCCAAGTAGCACTTTCCAAAAAGCATCTGGTTCCAAATAGGGCCAGACGTGGATGCATCTGGCCGCAGTCACGTCCACAAATAAGTAAATAAGCGGTCGTTCTTGGCTGGCGTACATTTCATGTGCGGGCGGGTGTGTGAACACAGTCATCGTAGTTAGCAGTAGTTCTCTTGAAGACATGAGTGAGTTATTACTTCGGGACGAAGTGAGAATAACACGCGCGCGCGTGGGGGCCCCAGAGCGAGACGAGCACCGGCAGGAAAGGGCGATTGCGGAGGAAGACTACGTTTGGCGCTCGGACACGCCGTGACGCGCGGACGAGCGAATGTGAGGGGTGAACGGCCATAGCTGCTTCTTGTGTTGGTCCGAGAGCGAACGTGAGGGGTGAACGGCCATAGCTTCCGAGTCGTCTTGTGTAGGTCTGAGAGAGAACGTGAGGGGTGAACGACCGTCGGTGCTTCTTGTGTAGGTACGAGAGCACACACACACATCTGTGACTTGTCTTGGCTATCTTCGACGCTGATTAGTGATTGCCGGCCATAGCTGCTTCTTGTGTAGGTGTGAGAGCGAACGTGAGGGGTGAACGGCCATAGCTGCTTCTTGCGTACGCCCGAGAGCGAACGTGAGGGGTGAACAGCCATAACTGCTTCTTGTGTAGGTCTGAGAGCACACACACATCTGTGACGTGTCTTGGCTATCTTCGACGGCTTATTGCTGAGCGCTGATTAGTGATTGCCAATCACTAATCAGGTCCATTGGCGGCACACAGTTCCCGCCGACAATCTGTCTGTTTGTGGGGCATGCTCCGTCGTGACCCGAGGACATGGAGGGAGATAGATTGTGGAGGAGGACAAGCGCCAGAGGCATACCTTCCGTCGGATCAACAGAAGATAATACGAGCGGATCGCTTGATGTTGCCAGCTGTCAAGGCGATAGAACAGCAGTGCAGCGGTGAAGACAATGGTATGGGATAGTCCATTGGGTCTAGGATAGGCTTTGGATTGATGAGGGGGTGTTTAGCTACTGGTTGTCCAGGAAAGGGTGGAGCTGCGATGATCGACCGAAATGTGGAGGGGGGAGGTGGTGCTAGGATACAGAGTTTGCACTGAGGGAATAGACACAGAGTGGAACTGAATAGCAAGCGAGTGTTTGAGGAGAGGGGAAAGGGTGGAGCTGCGGCTATGTTGCGCAGTTTGCACTGAGGGGATAGACACAAAGTTCAACTATAGCGAGCGAGTGTTTGAGGTGAGGGGAAAGGGGCGGAGGTGCGCCTGTGATGCTCAGTTTGCCCCGAGGAAAGAGACGCATAGTGGAACTATACCAAGCGAGTGTTGTTGAAGTGACGTTGTGTGTGATCCCGAAGTGGTTCGTGTTTGCTGCGCTTCCCAACTGCCGCAGGGAGATGGAAAGATGACTGGATAGGTGGTAGATCGCAACAGCAACCCTCAGACCAGAGATAAGTGGGATAAGCATCCGGAACTGCAACAGGTCCAGTGACAGGAAGATATAGATATTTATATGCTTGTGGATGGATGAAGAGAGAGAGAGAGAGAGAGAGAGAGAGAGAGAGAGAGAGAGAGAGAGAGAGAGAGAGAGAGA